CCCCAAAACCCCAAAACCCCAAAACCCCAAAACCCCAAAGTTTAAGCAAGGGATTGAAATGAGAGAAAATATTTAGTTAAACTAAAGCCATACACCATGTCTGGAAATCCTTTAGACTCGTGATTTCAGAGTATGAGGGAATAGGTTCCCAGAAGTCATTTTCGAGATCATATCTTTCTCAAATATCTTTCTCATTTCCGCCAATACTATAGACATAATTGTCATAATAGAAGGCAGATCAATTGAAAGTTTTACCGATTTTCATATCATTCAGGGAAGTCCACTTTTTGCCGCTTAAAGATAATTTCATCACAGATTTTTGCCTTTTCTTAAGTGAAAGGTTGAGTCCTCCCAGGATCAAAATTTCATCGTTGTTAATAGCTACTGCTCCTAACTTTGCAGAGGCTGCTGGAAGTTTCAAATGTAATGTGAGCCAATGATCAGACATACAGTCATACCGTTCAATAGTATTCAAAATATTAAATCCTTGGAATCCACCAAACAGATAAATGTATTGGTTCATTATAGTAGCAGCTGCAGCAAATGCTCGACTTTGGGCTATCGGGCATACTTCAGACCAAGAATTTTCATAAGGAGAGAATCATTCTCATGAATTAGTTGTATTGGGGCTCACATCTTCTGCATCTTTGTTGTTAAATCCTCCGATTACATATACATAACCGTTCAGGAATACTGATCAATGGGCATATCTTCTATTAAGCATCTTCTTATTTACTCTGATTCTTAGATGCTTTTATAGCACTTACTTCATAACACACGTTGACAGGATCTCCTGTAGAAATGAGACATCCACCAGTGAGATAAATTTTTCCATCTGGAGAAGATGCAGCGCTCATATATTTTAAGCTTCCAGAGTAGTTGGAATTGTTGTCATATTTATTTTGCTCCCAAATTTGGTCCTCTACATTGTAGCTAAGAAATTCTGCATTGTCTCCAAAGGCATGGATCATAGTTTGTTGAGGGTAAGGACCTCCATGCTTTCTAAGCTTGTTCATTGGTTTTGTCCGACTTTCCCAGTCATCAGTTTCAAGATCTGTTGGATCTCTGTATGAGTTATGCATCTTATTTTTAGGCATCCGTTTAGAAATAGCTGGATAACCTCCTTTTGGACCAGCATTAGATCGAACACTATTCTTTAAATTAGATCTACTGCTGGGGTGACGAGGATGCCCTCCATATTCTTGTTCTTCTGTTGATCTTGCTTCATCCATATACATTCCTGGCCCTCCTCTTGGGTACCCGTCTTCCATTGCATATTCGTTAATTTAGTCCGACGTGGGGTGATCTCCAGTACTGAGTCCTTCTCTCCTGCTTCCTCTTGTTCTAGAGGTACTCTTCTCTCTCGAAGTTGGCATTGCATTAAGAGGCAACATTTCAAATTTGGAAACTATCTCTATAGCCTTCTTCACATTCAGAGTCAGCGGCTTGAAGCTCGGGTGTATATAAATCTCACTTTTCTGTGCAATCTGGTTCTTTGTGATTATATCTAAATCAGTGAAAGATTTATGCAAGAATGTAGTCACATCACTAGCCTTTTGCAGAAATTTAGCATCAGGGTTATTATTGATAAACTGCAGAAGTTCGTTAAAAATTTTCTCGATTCCTTTGATCTCCTCAGAGTTGGTGTCTACAAGACTAGTCTTTGTCATAAACTTCTGTTCTTCTTTCTTGTACCTATTTTTCAAACTCTAGCATTATCTCTTGCTTCTTGTCTTCAAGCTTTTTCATGAGTTCCATGAAGCCTTTGTCTATATTCTGCATTTGTTGTTGTTTGAGCTTTGAGAGCTCGTCTTTGACTTGCTCAATCAACTTCCTATTCTCTTCGTTCAGTCTGGTGGCATTTACAAGCATTTTCTGGAGATCATAGACGTTCTGTTTGAGCACATTAGTCATCTCATCAACTTGAAGAAGCTCATGTCCATTGTGGTCATCAAACATACATTTTACTCACACTGTTTGAGTACAATTTTTACAGAAGTACTCTATTACTTTGTCATAATGTCTTGGACACATCACTTGGTTCTCAATTTCATGAGGGATGTTTGTATTTTTCTGAATAAGGTCAAGAATTTTCTGATTTTTCATAAATTCTCTTGGGTCTTCGTGGGTAATTTCTGAACCACATGTGGGGCAGGCTTTTTCTTCTTCACCCAACAGTTCAGCAACGCAGCTTTCTCAGAAGGTATGACCGCAATCTGGCAATATGAGAGGGGTTCTTTCATCCTGGTCAAAGTACTCCTCACATCTTTCACAGGTTATGATAAAGTTCATTTTCGAAGAATTATTATAATATTGCCTTATTAGAGGGGTTTTGGGGTTTTGGGGTTTTGGGGTTTTGGGG